CATATATATTGTTCACCAGGATCGATCATTTACTGACCGAATATTATTTTTTATACCAGGATTAATTAATTAATTAATTAAATTCATCATTTATACATCGGATGGATTGGTTATTGACCAGGATGCATTGTTTATTAACCAGGCATATATATTGTTCACCAGGATCGATCATTTACTGACCGAATATTATTTTTTATACCAGGATTAATTAATTAATTAATTAAATTCATCATTTATACATCGGATGGATCGATTATTGACCAGGATGCGTTGTTTATTGACCAGAAATATACATTGTTTACCAGGATCAATCCTTTATCGACCGAATATATTTTTTATATCAGGATTCATGAATTAATTAATTAAATGCAACATTTATGCATCGTATGAATCGCCCATTTACCAGGATGCATTGTTTATTGACCAGACATACACAATGTTCACCTAGATCGATCATTTGCTTACCAGAATTTGCTCTCAATGGACTGGTAATTATAGTATTTGAGTCATTTAGTTAACCTAACCCATATTTCGACTAGGATAAATACAATTTGGGTCATTTAATTAACGCAGCCAACTTTTTGACTAGCATCAAAACAATTTGGGTCAATTAGTTAATCGGTTTATTATTAACTGGTATTAAAGCAATTTGGGTCAATTAGTTAATCGGCTTGCTTTTATTAACTGGTATCAAAATAATTGGGGTCATTTAGTTAACATGACCCACTTTTATTCACCAGGATTCCCCAGTTGGGTAATTTAATATACCAGACCCGCCTTTTATTTAATCTGACCATGCTTTTATCTACCAGGATTCAATCATTTGGGTCAATTAATTAATTAGAGTATAAATAATTAAGCAGACAACCGTTCCATTGACCAGCCTACCTTTAATCGACCAGACTATGCTTTTATCTACCAGGATTCTACCATTCGGGTCAATTAATTAATTACATATAGTTAATTGACCAGACTACCGTTTAATTAACAAGGCTACCTTTAATCGACCAGGATTCTACCATTCGGGTCAATTATTTAATTACATATAGTTAATTAACCAGACAATTGTTTAATTGACCAGACCACCGTTTAATTGACTAGACCACTGTTTAATTGACCAGGCCACCGTTTAATTGACCAGGCCACTGTTTAATTGACTAGACCACTGTTTAATTGACTAGACCACTGTTTAATTGACCAAACTACCGTTTAATTGACCAGACTACCGTTTAATTAACCAGACTACCGTTTAATTGACTAGGCTACGATTTAATTTACCAGCCTACCTTTAATCGACCAGGATTCTACTATTCGGGTCAATTAATTAATCACATATAGTTAATTGACCAGACAACTGTTTAATTAACCAGGCTACGGTTTAATCGACCAGACTATCTTTAATCGACCAGACTATGCTTTTATCTACCAGGATTCTATCATTCGGGTCAATTATTTAATTATATATAGTTAATTGACCAGGCTACCGTTTAAATAGCCAGACTATGTTTTTATCTACCAGGATTCTATCATTCGGGTCAATTAATTAATTATATATAGTTGTTTAACCACACTACCGTTTAATTAACCACACTACCGTTTAATTAACAAGACTACCTTTAATTTACCAGACTATGCTATTATCTACCAGGATTATACCTTTTGGGTCAATTAATTAATTACATAAAGTTAATTGACCAGGCTACCGTTTAAATAGCCAGACTATGTTTTTATCTACCTGCATTCTACCATTCGGGTCATTTAACTAACCAGACCGCCTTTACGTTAACCAGAATTTGCTTTTATCCACCAGGACTCTACCATTTGGGTCATTTACTTAATTAGATTATAGTTAATTAATCAGATCGCCTTTGGTTTAATCAAACCGCGTTTTAATTAACCAGACTGCCTTTAATTTAACCAGATCTTCTTTAAGTCTACCAGGATTCTACCATTCTGGTCAAATAATTAATTAAGGTATAATTAATTAAGCAGACCGTCTTTAATTTAAGCTGACCGCCTTTAATTTAAGCAGACCGTCTTTAATTTAAGCTGACCGCCTTTAGTTTAAGCAGACCGCCTTTAGTTTAAGCAGACCGTCTTTAATTTAAGCTGACCGCCTTTAGTTTAAGCAGACCGCCTTTAGTTTAAGCAGACCGTCTTTAATTTAAGCTGACCGCCTTTAGTTTAAGCAGACCGCCTTTAGTTTAAGCTGACCGCCTTTAGTTTAAGCAGACCGTCTTTAATTTAAGCTGATCGCCTTTAGTTTAAGCAGACCGTCTTTAATTTAAGCTGACCGCCTTTAGTTTAAGCAGACCATCTTTAATTTAAGCTAATCGCCTTTAGTTTAAGCAGACCGCCTTTAGTTTAAGCTGATCGCCTTTTAATGAACCATACCACCTTTGGTTTGACCTAACCGTATTTTATTTAACCAGACTGTGCTTTAATATACCAGGACTATATCATTCGGGTCAATTAATTAATTATATCAAAGATAATTGAG